AAATAAAAATAATCACATTTTTACGGTACCCTACAAATTATAGAATATTGGGTGTATGATAAACTGAGTGACTGGTGAAGTAATCAAGTATACTGGACCCTGTTATAAAAAGACAGAATCCGGAATTCGTAGCTTTAAATAAAGAACTGGAAAGTTTCAGTAAGGAAGTAGGATTCTAAGAGACAACTTTTCATGAAGATGGATTACGTCTATTGAGAGAAAATAAGAGAGAAACATCAACTACTGTTCCTGAATTTCTCCTATAGCCCAGGTATAAATATTTACCAGAGGAAAATTAGCCCAAAGTAGTAGAACAACAAGTAGGACTACACAATAAGTGGTTGAAGCTTCAATGGAAATAGGGGGCTTGGAATTCACAGCACAGCAGCTAGGTGAATACGATGAGAGGACCCTTTTAGGGAACAAAACGCTGTCTGAGTGGACTTCCTGTTTATTCTGGGCACAGAAAGGACTCGAGCTTACAGCTTTAGTACAAGTTGACTTTGAACAACACCCTAACTCAGATAGATATAACTGGGGCGGAACTAAAAGAGACACGTTAAAGTACTATTAGTCTAGACATTGGGATGCAGGAATTTGAGATTAAAATGTTTTATAGTAGGGAAAAGAAGAAAATATAAATAAGTAAATAGGACACAATTAAGAGAAATTTAGACAGGGCCGAGAAGATGATACACATTTATCAACCTTTTACAATACATTAAGCTTAAAGGTGACGTTTTTACCAACTATTTCATTATTATTATATTCCATGACAATCCAATGTGATCTTTCATTTCTTTAAATTCTACCTATTTTAACGAAAAACTATATTTTCAATTCATTTCCAACAGAACATTTTTACTTTGACTTACCAATACGTTCTAACTCCTAATTTATAATGTGATAGATTAACGCAATTAACTACATAATAAAATATTAAGTTTCATATTTCATATATTAGGTAATGGTAAATAAACTCACTGTATCTATTTATTTTCTGATATAACTAACAAAATTATCTGTGGTTTTAACATATAACAGGCAGCTTTAATTTTGTTATTGAAAACATCACATATTAGACTAGGATTGTGATAAGTTGCTAACAGAATTTTTTGAGTTATGAGTATATAAAATTTGCGAATATCTAATGTATTATTTTCTAGAAAAAATGTTTCACAATATTTGATAATTTTAATATTTTACTCAGAAATGTCTGTTATTAACTTATTTAAATTTTGATTTTGTCAATGTTTTCAGATTTACATTAGTCTAAACAGCTTTTACGATCGTAATATAGTTTTAAAAAACTATGAAATTGCTTGAGAATGTTATATAGACCGAAATATATAAAATATAGTAGCCCTAACCTTTTAAAAGGAAAAGACTAATACTCATTATGTGTTAATCCTGCAAGAATTTAAATATAGTTCATCCTTTATATCAACTATATAGGGTGAGATCAATAGAAACCTTAACTTAGAGAAACAGCAGAGTTGGACGATATCATGATAATTATTAATGTTCTAATAAAGTTCTGTTTTTTTGAGAAACATTTATAAAATCGATAATATTCGTCTATTGATTTTTATGGTATGATATTTTTAAATATCAGTAATTAAGCAGTTCGTAAAATATTGTCCAACTTACAGATATATTTGAAGATTGTTTGTAAATATTAAGATGACAGTTTATCCCTTTTATTTAACTCTTATTAGTGGTAATTCTATGACGAATATGTTAAAATTTAACAAACGTTAAAAATATAACGTGTGTTAAATAAGAAAAGCAATTCTGTAAATTCATTTTAACTTGTTATAATTAACATAAGGGACCTAAGCCAAATAAGGCCCACGAGCCCAATAAGGCCCACTGATGATATTGGCAACACTGTACAGTATGTAATTGAATAACCTTGAAAGGGTATGTCCAAAGCCATATTCGTTGGTTTAAATATATTTCATGCGGTTCGAAAACGGTTCGAACTATTCCCATTCGAGTGACCAAACAATGACGTCACGTTGAAATAGATTTAAAGCAGCTGCATCTGGTTTTGAAACGCTTCAAGGTAATAGAAATGTCATTAATGTCAAAAATTGTAACGAAGATCATGCATTAAAATTAGTTATCAAAAAAGATTTTTTTTTATTGGTACCCTATTTTACTTATTTAAAGTACGCCTCAGCGTGTTTAAAACGAACTTTAAAAAACGCGCGTGTTTTAAAGTTACCATGGCAACATCAACAACCCGAGAAACGTGATGTCTAAAATGCCAACTTTTTAAATATTGATCTGACAGGGGTGCCTTGTAATGTCAAATAAAATATTTCTGAGAAATTTTTCAAAAAATTTATTCAAATATTTTTTCACAATCTTAATTGTTTAAATGAATGTGGAAAGTACAGTTAGTATTGTTTGAAATATTAAAACCGGTTTTTTAAATCTGTAGAAAACTTCCGCAAATCGTCTTCATCGAAAACATATGCCTTCTTGACTACCTCATTTTTGCTAATTGCCTTCATGAATGCATGCACTTTGACGAACGATTTTATATCGACCCCTTTGTTTATCCTCAGCATACTTTGTAATTTTGAATGGATAGTCCACATAGTCGATACTTTATACTGTTCCGACATTTTCTGGAGATAAGCGAGAACAACTCATTCATCTATATGTGTAACCATTTGCTCTTCCATCCACGTGTTGAATTTATCGTATTCGGCTACGCCGTCGTGCTCGAAAAATCGCGCGTGTTTTAAAGACCGTTATATCCACTTATACTTTAATATACTATTATATTACGGTTATAAGAAAAAATAGAAAATGAATAATTATAAAGCTTTATAATTTTTAGTAATTTTTGAAAACTTGCCATGTAATTTTAAATAACTAGTTAAACTCGTATTTTAAATATAACAATCCTAAAATCCTAAAACTCTGGTAAAATATATGCGCTTTTTTTGAGGCAAAAAATTATCTGTTGCTAGAGATTTACACACTCACAAATCTTTAACTGTTAGTGACATCACTGTTATAAAATCATCTATTTGAGCGCTTTCAAAATCTATGACGTAGTATTAAAGCTGCTTCTAAAAGTTGTTGAAAATATTTTTAAACCAAAGAGACCGCTCGAATATAGCTCAAGTATAGGCCAGGCCGCTTGCGCCGCGTCAACCGCTCTATTTCGCTAACGTAGCAAGAAACGTGACGAGTGCAACATCGGACTGACTATCTGTTTCATTAAAAAAGTGTTTTTTTCTTTGGGTCGATATTTTCGAAAGAGGTATTTTAAGTTAAAATTACCTGAAATCATTTGTTGAATATTCTTTTTGAACATAGTGAAGTTAGAATTACCAAACTTTGAAGAAAAACCAAGTTTTGGATATATTTATTTTATAAAACATAACTTCTTTTGATGCATACTAATAAGGCCCTTTTGGTGTATACTAATAAGTCCCGGGCCTTATTAGTATTAAACTGATATTTTTATTAGATTTCTTTTTTTATTTCAGCATGCTGCCTAAAAAAAGAGCTTTGTGGAGTCAGCAACAAATAAAGGCAGCAATGGCTTTCATCAGTAGATCAGTGTTCGAGCTGCAAGTAGGCTTTACTCTATACCAAGGAGGACTTCACAAAACGACATGATAACAGGTAGTACGGAGACAAAATTGGTAGAAGTGTTATTCGCAATAGCCGAAATCGCTCATTGCCCGAATTTTTCGTCCACAACGCGTTATGGTTATACTAGTTTACCCACGATGCGATTAGAAACATTCTTTCCGGACAATGGGTAAAGTTAATTAATCAGATCGCGTTGTGAGTAAACTATGCTACCCACGACACGAAATAATATTACGGGAATTAATGTTAGAGGAGAAGGACAGGTCGTTGTTATTATCAGATGAACGTTATTTAGAAATTGTACACGAAACCAAAGAGGCTCTACAAAGAAAACGGAACAGACTTGAATTATAGTATCGTACAGTATCGTAGAATAAAACGATATGATTTATTAATAATTGGTGAGAAAGATAAACTAGTTAACAAAGAATGTTAAGGAAAACAATCAGGTTTAATTTTTTACTGTGCAGCAAGTGAAATGTATGACGTAATACATACAGCACATTTACAAATAGGACATAAAAGAGAAAAGGCAATGGAAAATGAATTAAAAAAGAAATACTGCAATATTACTAGTGAGGTAATTTCCATATATTTAAACCTGTGTCAATCCTGTGCTTTGACAAAAAAAGCAAAACGTAAAGGATTAGTTGTGAAACCTATAATTATGAGTGAAATGAATTCACGTTGCCAGGTAATTTCTCCACTATATCTCTTTACATTGTCAGTTAACAATTTTTTTATAGGTCGACCTTATAGACATGCAAAGTGAGCCTGATGGAGAATATAAATTTATTCTCAATTACCAAGATCATCTAACTAAATATGTGGTGCTGCGACCACTTAAAACAAAAACAGCAGATGAAGTGGCAGATGTTATTCTTGATATCTTTTGTTTGTTTGAAGCACCAAATATTTTACATAGTGACAATGGAAAAGAATTCTGTAACCAAGTAAGTGTAATGGCTTTGTACAAAGGCTGTGTTTCATCTGAGTAACTTTCAGGTCATTGAAAAGTTAGCAGCAAGTTGGTCGGCTATCAAATTAGTCCACGGTAAACCTCGACATTTCCAGAGCCAGGGTTCCGTTGAACGAGCAAATCAGGACGTTTGTGATAGCCTTGTAGCCTGTATGTCTGATAACAAGTGTCAAAACTGGGCAAAAAGACTTCGTATTATTCAGAGTATGACGAATCGCAGTTTCCATACAGGTATAAAGCGAACACCTTATGAAGCCATGTTTGGAACTCCACAAAGAAATGGACTATTGGATACGTGCTTAGATACCTCTGTCGTAAATGGGATTGAAACTGAAGAACAACTTGAAGAACATCTAAAATTGATAAAACTTTCTTTAGAAAAAGCAAATACAGTATCTGAGAAATATAATTCTGAAATTGGTGAATCGGAACTAGAAATCGAAACCGAATTAGAAGTTGAAACGGAACTAGATACCGAAACAGAAAATTATAGAAACGACAGAAGAATGGAGAAGGAAAATGCCAGTATGATTAAATGTTTTGTTTGTGATAGCATGTACGTCCCACAAAATGTGTGCATTGAATGCAATGAACCATTTCATACGGAATGTGGTGCTGATTTGGATTTGCCATTATGCAAACTTTGTAGCGATAAAAAAGTAGCTGATACAGAGAGAAGGGGTTGCAAACAGGGACTTGAAAAACAAGCTGATAAAATGCTTACCCAATCGCAATGGAAATTACCAGTTGTCAATATAGGTGACAATGTTTTAATAAACATACCAGAGGTAGATCGTGGACGTCTAGCTCCTCCAAATATATTAGCAATTATTATGGATAAGACTGATCAAGATTTGTACATTCTTGGCACCAAAAATGGGAAACTAAAACGATTATACAGCCAAAATGAGTTTCAATTATCGCCTTCAGTATTTTTATCACTATCTGAGATCCCTTCAGGCTCTTCTGTAAACGTGCGTGAAGAAGCAAAGTTGTCTTCTGGTTCTAAGCAAGGGTTTGTCCCATGTAGTTGCCTGAAAGGATGTCAAACGAAGGCATGTAGGTGCGTAAAATTAAATATAAAATGTAATTTAAAATGTCATAAAAGTTATTCTTGTAAAAATTAGTAATATTTGTTTTTAAGCTCCTTTCTTTATTATTTCTAGTTTTTGTGTCGTTTAAATGTTCTTGGTTATCTTTGTGTTTTTTTAAATAATTTATGTTGTACGCGTTTAAATAAATGTTTTTTTTTTTATTTATATTCTTTATATTATTTAAAATGCGTTATGAGTAAAACACAATAGCCACAACGCGACGTGGGCAAACTAAAAGCTCTACAATGGAAAACAAAAGCTCACGAACCATTATTTCGTGTCGTGGGTAACACAGTTTACTCACAACGCGATCTGGTTAATTAACTTTACCCATTGTGCGGAAATAACGTTTCTAATCGCATCGTGGGTAAACTACTATACCCATAACGCGTTGTGGACAAAAAATTCGGGCAATGAGCGATTTCGGCTATTGTGAATAACAGAAGTACTTTTTTGAGTGAAGATCAGGAGAAAGATCTGACCATTCGAATTAAAAGATTATCAGAGATTGGAATGCCGTTAACAGGAAAGGTTTTACGCAGAAGCGTTTTTACATTTTGTGAGAAAAATAAATAAAAAAAAAAAAAAAATGACTGGGCCCAAATGGATGACACTGTTTTTAAAACGTAATCCTGATATTTCGAAAAGAAAGGCTCAACCGCTTAACGCTGCTAGAGCTGCAAAATTAAACAAATTTATCGTTAATGATCACTTTGCATAATTGAGAGACCTGTACGCTGAGCTAGATTTGCACGATAAACCTCATTTAATTTATAACTTAGATGAAGCACAAAGCACCGGAAGTACTAGCTCAAAAAGGAGTGAGAAATGTTCATCTGATTGCCGAAGAACACGCAGAAAATGTCACAATCGTGGCATGTGGGAATGCACTGGGAAATGTAATACCTACGATGATTTTGATGAAGGGAATCAGGTAAAAGCCCGAATGAAAGGATAACCTTCCACAAGGATCCATTCTTATGATGACCGCTAAGGGTAGTATGACGACGGAGGCTTTTGTAGAATATATTAAACACTTTGCGAAATTTAAACCGGAAGGCAAAGTACTGCTCATATTTGATGGTGCTTCATCTCATTTAGACTGTGCCATCGTTGAAGAAGCAGATAAACACAACATAGTTTTGTACTGTCTACCTAGCAACACAACACACTGGCTTTAACCAATGGACAAATTTGTTTTTAGTCCATTTGAGACATATTATGATAAAGAAATTTTGAATTTTTTGGTCAACAAACCTAATCGCATTGATAAAGCTACATTTGGAAAAAAATTTACTGCCGTTTGGCCAAAAGTCGCCTCACAAGCAAACGTAATGGCGGGATTTAGAGGTACTGGAATATTTCCCTTCAATCCAAATATAATTCCTGAGACAGCCTTTGCGCCATCAGAGCTGAGCAGAAGAGAAGCAAAAAACGACGAAAATACACCTCCAGAAAATATGAACCTAGCTTCTTTACAATCAAAAATTGTGTTACAACGTCAGGTCACGGAATTAATCGCAAATAAGCCAGGAACTTCTGGTCTACAGAAAAATACATACAAAAAGAAAAGATCTAGAAGCTCCAGCACTGAAGATAGTTCGAACAGTGAAGATATTTCAATCCATGACACTTCTTCAGACTACCAAAATATAGAAGAAGAAAATAAAGTTGTAGAGTTGGAAGGCACCTTTAAAGATGTGCTTCCAACACCTGAAATAGAACTAAAAAAAATTACACCTTGTAAGAAATCTCTAAATTATAGAGGTCAGCAAGTAACCAAAAATCTTTTTGCTAAAAATAAAGATCCAGAGAAAGAATCACAAGAGGAAATCTCTAAAAATAAAATGAAAAAGAAATCAATTAAGAAGGTAGAAGAAAAATGGTATTTATGCAACGAGGACAGGATTATGAATATGCGTCTGTGCAACATGTGCATGCGATATGTACATGAAGAATGTGTGGGTCTGACCAGAAAAGATAAAATGGATTTCTTTATTTGTCCGACGTGCTCCGATTAAAGAGGAAAAAACTTTATCATTATTTTTGAAACTAGCTCTCTTTGTGAATTAGTTTAATGACTTGTTTTTTAGTTGTTATTTGTTACAACAATCTTGATTTGTTCGTTTAAGTATTCAGTATAAAATATAGTTTAAAATATTTTATAATAAATTGTTTTAAAAGACCATTTTGAGCAACTTTCTATAGCAATAAGGGAGGGCCTTATTAGTCTGCACATGTGGGCCTTATTGAGAACTATTGTTCCTAACAAGGCCCAATGTCACCTTGCATTAAAAAAATTGTCAACTTTAAAGTAAAAATAAAAATTGAAAATACTTGACAAAAACAAATAAATAAAAGTTAATTCAAGTTGACCCCAAATTATTGAACACATATTTTACCTTTTTTTTTTTTAATTTTTCGGGTCCCCTAAGTTAAGTGGTCCTTATTTGGTACACCCCCTTAATAATTTATTTGTGTTGCAAAAATCTATTCTATAAGTAGAAATATGTTAAAATTTTAACATACATGCATTAATTTTATGCGGTAAATCGAGGATAGTAACAGGTACTAATTAGTAGGCGTTAAAACTTGTCATATAAGAAATTATGACTTTTGATTGTTTAATTTAATTTATAATGCAAGAAAATCATAAAAATGAACCATTTTGAAAGTACTCAAATAATTTTATCCGTAGAAATTGCACAAATTGTATTTAGAAATCATATTTTATTTATAAAGTATGTGTATATAAACTTTTTGTAGTTAATAATTGATTTGCCGTAGGAGGGCACTATTATAAGGTTACTAGGGTTAATTTTTCTATTGGAAATTGATGGCCTACCAAATAGTTTATAAAGTACATTCAGCCGTTACTTTTTTCAATATTCTTGTGAAAAACAGACAGATACACCAAATGTAACAAAAGGACATGACATTTATTTGACAGACCTTAAAAATTATACTGAAAATTTAATAGTATATTACGTAAAAGAGTTGTAAGTAACCCATTACGCACGAAGTGAAAAAAGTTTAGGCACGAAGCCGAGCAGCGGCGAGTACGTAAATTTCGTGTAACGTACTATACTTTTTCTACGCCCACTTAAAACATTCTCAAAAAAGGATTTAACGTTGCTTGTGTCGCCAATCCATATATTTTCGATAGATAATTTCGTACCTTTCTTTGGATTTTAGCGGTAACAAATTATGTGTGGCAGTTTGAGCTGTTTTGAAAATCTCCGGTGGAGTGCTGATAATCTCATCACTTTCACAGCTAATAAACACATTCGTAGGTAAAGTTGAGAAAATGTTCGGATACAATCATATTTTGTTACAAAAATTGACAATATAAATGGCATGACGTTTATTTCCATAGCATGCTAAGAAAATGCGACATATTTTGTGAAAAATTGTATAATATGTTGCCGACATTTAGGGGCATCACTTTTTTAATCCAAAATGTATCTCGCTAATGTTAAAAGTTTTTATGTTTTTCAAATGACTAAATTTATGTAAATTAACCAAATAAAATCGTACGAAGAGAAAAATTTGATTGCAATTTGATTAAACCAAGAAATTTAAGTTTTTTTTTTTATCAAAACGCACGTGTATGTTATGAGATCTCATTCCGTGCATGTTATTGTTAAATGTCATTTACAAGAAATGTTGATAGTGCGATTTTTAATGTTTACTGACATGGGCGTAGAAAAACTACTTTTAACGTAAGTTAATTTATTTGAAAATTTAACATATGCGTTAATTTTATTTTTATAGAATTACAATTTATGTTAAAATCGTAAAATCTAACACTCGTTAAAAATATTGAATTACAAAATTACCACCAATAAGTATAAGTTTTATTTTTATACTTTTTATCCCTATCGTTATTCTTTTAATCCTCATTCTCTTTACGTCTTTATATTAGTACGAGTATAGGTATTTACTTAATCTCAACGCAATTTCAAGTGTTTTAAACAAAACAAGGTCCTTTAAAATATTGATGAAGGAAACTAAATATTTGTTATTATTTGCATAAACATAAATACGAAAATGTTCCAAAAATTGAGAACAAAATTTCTGTGTCACTTGGTGTTGCAATCAATTTAGTTTGCTGAATTTTTTTACATTTTTCTAATTTTAAACTCATTAATCTCAATTTGATATTCGGTACATTTCAAAAATTTACGAGTATTTTAAAATATAAAATTTTTAAGTAGGTACCTTCATCAATATTTTTATATCCATGTATACAACATTGATGGGCAGTGTCAACTTATTGCATGCAATATTTTTTTTGATATGCAACCCAAAAAATAAAATGATTTCTAAAAAATCATTTATTTTGTGATAAATCATATAAATACAAACATAAACTCCATATAAAATTATTTGGCAGAACATGTTTCGTAGATTTATTTTAAATTTTGTTAATATCTAAATCATCTACTCTAAGTTTTTGATTTTTATTTAAATATATACAAAACAGTGTTATCAGTCATTGTACATTGTACAGTGCCTAAAAGTTGAGAAAATTTCAGTTATAATGTAGCTACAAGTAAATTTCCGATAAATGTCATTACAGAAAAGATTAAAAATGATTATTACACATGACGTGTTACAGAAATTTCTTTGCATCAAACTGCTTTATAATATATTAATTGTATTTTTCTGAACTGCACATCAGAAATGTAATAAAATAACATTCTAACAGTTCCTGAAATACTTATACTATGCGAGTGAAAAGTATGAATTCATTAAAAGGAGAAGTATTGTGATTTTTAAATAATATCCAAAACAGGTATTTTTTTTTTTAATTCACACTTTTTGACATATTATTAGGTAATCAGGGTGATGCGTTTAAATGTAGTGACACCTTCGGCATTTTTTAAAAAAGCAATCTCCATTTTTTATTTCATATTCTGACACTCGTCCAGTTATCAACATACTCATGTAATAATTTTGTTATCTTTCAAAAGGAAATTTTGTGAAAAATAATTATGAAGACAGGAGAGCATTTTTATTATTATTATTTGCACGCATATATTTGATATTATGTAAAAAAAATCACAATTTAAAAATAAAATTGACCTGTTTTTAGAATCAAAAATCAATACTTTTCTTTTTACTGAATGTATTACTTACTTTTGACTCGCACTATCTACAAATAAAGGTTACCTTTGTGATTAAAATTAACAAATGCCTTCTCTATTTTAAAATATATTTCTTTATACAGTAAAGAGAAAACTTAACAGTTAAGGCAAATTATTTTTTGAACAATTTTCTCAACTATCGAACAGTTTAGTTATAAAATTTATTAAACTATGTACAAGTTTACTAGTCCTAATTTTATATTCTTATTATAACACTAGATGGCACCCTGCACTTTTT